CGCCGCAATCCCTACGTCAAATAGATACGTATGTAAAATACCCCGCCTTCGCGCCTCCCGCAATTGCGGCACCCCTTCCATCTCGCCACGCCGCTCGCCCGTCGGTGTCCATCTCCACATCGCACCCCTCGCCCACCGCGCCGCCGGCGACGTGCCTCTTCGCGACGTCTACGCTGAGTACAGGAGGTCAGCATCCCGCACCGCATCCGCTTGCTGGAACGATGCACTCGCCTCTCGGAATGCCCAGGGAGGGTGAGCCCGACCAAGCACCTTCCTTTTTTGGACGTGCTGATAAGGCGGGCGCTTCTCTTAATCAGTTAGATAACGATGTCCCCCCAAGCGCCGTCTTACCATATCGGGCTCTACGCCCGCCCTCCCGCCCGTCGAGCTCGCCGACGTCGCGCACGGCGCACCGGTGCGCGCGCGCGCCGCGCGCTAACGCGCCCGTGTAGATATGTTGATAAATGAGTCCCCTGTAAAATATATAAGAAGTGCATTGCCTACAGCATGAGATATGCGCTTTTGAGCTCGAAGCCAGCTACTAAGCATCATGTTAAAGACTCCGCACGCTTCTGCGGCATGTGCGTATTTGCTACCATGGCGGATATAGAATAAAGTAACATGTTGAGATCATAATGTAAGCTGCTAGTAGTATCCATTAATGAATGCTATGAGAGTCTTGTCGCTTCTGTGCCTTCTCTGGAGAGGGCGGCAGAATGACAAGGTCCGAGGATGCCCGTCTTTTACGGTAACGACAAGGATGTGACTCGGGAGGGGTGGAGGGTGGAATTAGAGTGGCGGAGGCTGTGGTAGAGGATGAAGCTACGGTATTGATGCCTTCGGCACACCCGCGTGCACTGATTGCCATCTCTGTATCAGTGGCATCCTGGTTCTCACGGAGCAACCTTGAGAGCTGCGCAGACAAAGTGTCCAGGTTCGTCTTCGCAACCTCAACCCGTGGGACCTCCGACGCTGTCAGTGCGACGCCCTTGAGAAGGTCCGAGAACTCCCGAAACTTCGGCCCCACAGACTCCAACTCGTGCAGGACGCGAGCCATTGCTTGCCGATGAAGCGCCAAGATAGCAGTACCCTCAAGCGCTACGGGCTCGAGTTGCGGCGTCGGTCTCGGTGTTCGCATCGCGGGTTCGGGGATCTGCAGAGGGCGACGAGCCATCGAGGACATAGGCCGCGCCAGGGGTGGGACGGCACCCACTACTCCGAGAGCTCGAGACACTGGGGCTCCAGTCGGCTCGCTGTTCCGAGAGGTAGTACTGACTGCTGCGGGAGCATTCATCGTGGGGATCACCGCAATTGAGTGTCTGTTCAATGCCGGCGAGTGTTCGCTTGCCTCCGACTCCGATTCTGACAGATAGTCACTCTCAGGTCCCGAGCTCTGCGGTGCATCTTGGGGTACGCCGGACTTGAGCTGCGAGCTTGCCTCGAGGAATCGACCATCCCCCAGCGTAGCAAACACGTCTCCGGACTCTCGGAGGATCGCGTCGACAAAGCGGCCGGCCCGGGACTCTGGGGAGGCGTCCCCGGGGATGGTTCCCACTCCCGCAAGTGGAGGAATGTCCGGGCACTCATCAGGAGTGTCAGCGCGGTCCGGATCGTGGGCAAGGGTGCGTGCTTCGTGTCGTGTGCGTGGGATGTTGATAACGGGGATATTCACCCCAGTGTCGCGGATTTTGTCAAGCCGGAGCAAAGCTGCGCGGATATGCTTGCACGCAGCGCCGTCGCGTGTGCGAAAATCCGCGCAGGAACACATTGCTGATCCACCCAGCGATATCGAGACCGTGTAGATCAGCGGGAGGGGGTCATGTGCCAGAGCCAGCGAGGAGAAGCAGTCAAACTCGAAGCTGAGCGAGTGTTGCTGGAACGTAGGGACGCTGATTTGACCGTCGTCTAGCAGGGCTTTGGCAGTCTTCTCTCTTGCCGGGTCGTCTGGAAGATACGCGCACGTGTTCGATGGCAGATGAGGGTCTTCCATGGCCTCCGAGGCTGCTCTGCGACTGCGCTGTTCAAGAAGCATGGAGCCCCCAGGTAATCCCATCACGAGTGCGTCCGTCCGCTCATTCTCCGCAGCTTCCATCGCACGTGCTTCGAAGATGGATGGCAAAACTGAGAAGACGAAGATGTGCAGCAGTACGTCTAAGCGAAGTCTTCGCCCGCCGCGTTGCCAGCGGCGGATATGCTTTCGCTTCAAGACGCCGTTGAAGGATTCCAGGTGATTTGTAGTCGGTAGAACACCGTCCACCGGGCAGCCAAGCAGTCGAGCAGCGGTCTGCCTGCCATAGTCAGACCAGCTCGACCACAGAGCATGCGAAAGCCAGTAGCCGGAGAGGTACTCCAGGTGGGCAACCCCTCCAGAGGCAGCGGCCTTGCACTCGACATCTTGCCCGTCCAGGACCAGAAGGCTCTCCAGCAAGCTACGTTCCGTGGCAACGAGCTGCTGCGCATCGTCAAACGAAGTCGTTTCGATGAGGGACAGCTCCAGACGTCTGAGTCGAGCACGGACGTCACTGTGGTAGGGCGAGTTCCCTTTCAGGACACGAGCGCGATTGTTGCGCCAGGACTGCCGGAGGTGGAACTTGCAGATCAGTAACCACAAGCTGGTGAAGACCTTGAGAAGCGCCCCGCGTTCCTTAAGGTCCGTGTCCGTGATTGCAACACGCGGGGCAAAGGACGTGCCATCCCGGGTGCCAAGAGAGGTTCGCCAGTGGGTGAGAAGACGAGTGAGTATCTCAGTGTTATATCCCGACGATGTCTGCTGATTGCCGGATGGCGCTGAGAAGAGAAGGAAAGCGAGAGGAACCCCTCGCTTCTGTGCATCGAGGCCCATGATGATGAACAGCAGTAGCTTCTTGTCGCAGAGGCCGAACGTCCCGTCCAGGATGATCTGCGAGTTGTGCGCGTACGTCCATGATGCCTCTTTCATCTCTTTGGTGGCGATGCAGACCTCGAAGCGGTCGTCTTGCGTTGCTCGAGCAGAGTAGAGGAAGACGGCCTCTGCAAAGGCGGCGTTGTATGCGGGAGAAGCCGAGTCTAGCCAATCGTCCACGTTGACGTGCGCGGGCTGTACAACGTTGATGCCGCGAATTCGGTTGAATTGGCGGTAGAGTGAGCGTGTGTCGCTCTTCCTGAGAAGCCATCGATAGGATGACTGCCGCATGTCTCGTGGCTGGCCGGCATATGCAAACGTACGGAACAGTTTTCGGTTCAGTTCCTGTATGTTGCTCAGCTCGGCTCCGCCGCGTAGCTGCTTGAGAGCCACTTCAAAGACAGACGGATGGAGAGGAATGGGGGGGATGCGGGACAGGAAGGCGTCCCTGCAGGGCAGATTGTGCTCGAAGTACCCGCGGACGAGCAGAATCTTGCCAGTGTGCTTCTGGTACAGGATCTCTCCGTGCGCGAGGCAGCCGGTGAAGTCGATCGGAGTCTTTCTATGTTTGGTATTGCGGGATTGGTGATGATAGCCGCAGTCGCTATTCAGCGATGATGTTATTTTGCAGTTCATTGTCCAAACTAGGAGCTCCGAGTCAAGGATGTGTTGCAGCGCTGCTTACCATTGAAACAACTTCCTCACAACCTCCTGCCCCTTCTTGCCGCTCTCCTGGCCCCACCTGTTACTCCATCGATTCCCCAGCTCTTTCTTCGCATCTAGTTCCAAGCCGGCGGCAGCTAGCCATGATGCTGCAGCGATTTGTGCCTCCTCGCTCGATGGCTCGAATTCCTGGTCGGTGGTCTGGGCAGCTTCATATAGCGCTACGAGCTGGGCCCGCTGCTCGTCGGTCAGGTATAGCTTGCTTAGATATACTTGAGTGGCTTTCTTAGCAGCCGTTACGGGTACACTGTCGCCCCGCACTTCCGGTATGGATATATTGATGAATTTGCTGCCAGGAGGGGCTGCCTTTGAGGCTGAAGTCGACTTTCTGGGTTTTCGGTTGGACATGGGGGGCTGAGTTTACTGAGGAAGAGAGGTACGAAACCTTCATGCATTTTGCGGAGGTCATATCGTTTGATCTTGTGGCGTAGGGCTTTCGCCATACTGCTACAAGTCTTTAACATGATGCTTAGTAGCTGGCTTCGAGCTCAAAAGCGCATATCTCATGCTGTAGGCAATGCACTTCTTATATATTTTACAGGGGACTCATTTATCAACATATCTACACGGGCGCGTTAACGCGCGGCGCGCGCGCGCACCGGTACGTCGTGCGCGACGTCGGCGAGCTCGACGGGCGGGAGGGCGGGCGTAGAGCCCGATATGGTAAGACGGCGCTTGGGGGGACATCGTTATCTAACTGATTAAGAGAAGCGCCCGCCTTATCAGCACGTCCAAAAAAGGAAGGTGCTTGGTCGGGCTCACCCTCC